CTCCTTGCCACTCCGCTGATGCCATCCAAACATCCACACAGATGATACTCAAAGATAGACTAACTGCTGCTAAGATGGCTGTGGGTATCCTCGCCATGATGGTAATGTTAAGACGCACTTTGCATGTATAATCTGTAAAAATGGGGGAGTGAAAGTGTCTCCTTAAATTTGACAGAGGTGGCAATGTTATATTACCGGTATCCTGTTTAATCAAGTTTGTAAAAACAATTGTGTGTAGGTCTTTATGGCTTGCCCCCCCCCTGCGATGCTATTCAGTCAAGGCAAATATTCCAGAGGTTTACATAACCCAAGTCTGTTTTTACCTGAATTTGTCATTAAAAGTTATTGATTGTAATACCAACTAATATATATTGGGTTTAATCGGGCAATAATTGACCTCAAAAGCTAGCAGAGAAGTTGATGAAGCGTCTGCACTTTAAAAGCAGGTTGATTTTGCTTCAATTCTCACCAGGCACCCCTTGAGGACCCCACTCTCAGTATGCAGTGAGAATGCAGGTTTGTAATCATCGTTCTGATTGTACAGCTGTAATCCTTTTGCGTTCCCGAATGTTCCGCTATCAGCATCCCGATTTTGCTCTGAAAGTCACCAATCTGTTACATTCTGCCACTAAGCACACCCATATACTGTGTTACTGCATGATATTGCAATCCTAAATGGCAACTGAAGAATGCAATGCCCCTAACTCATCAATGCCTGAGCTCCTTTGGTCCCCTCAGTCAGAATTTAGAGAGGTCATCTGCATTGCGTAACATTAGGCCCAATACGCAAGCAAAAATCTCTTGAACGATTATTTTTTTTTAAAACTTCCAATTCAGGATATCAAATGAATTTGTCTTTGACTTATGTGTCTGTAAGATACACGATTAAGCCTGACCACCTTTTTGTCTTCAGTATCAACTTAAATTTTTGGTTTTAGATTTTAATTAAAATCCCAGAACAAAATTTAAATTACAAAAACCGCGAAAAGTGAAACTGCTACAGTGATATGGAAGTGCCATGCGACTTTTATCATGCTATATGATATATCTCAGGCTGACGACATATTGCAAGCAAGATATCGACATATTGATATAAGCTATTATGGGATGAAGAAATCTAATTCAGCCCAACGATTCCGGTATTCTGTGATATTTTATCATACGGATGACGGCATTTGAAAGAATGGCCACATTTGTGCAAAATGTGTGTGGTTGTGACACACTTGGTACTAACACTCCTCTAGATTGTCTGTTTGGTCCGCTCTGCGTACACCGGTACAACTTATCACTACCACCAAATTCCAGGCTCAGTGTTTACAATTTCTATAAAATTGGTGTTGGTGCTTGCGCAGAGAGGAGCCTGAAGACCACTGGTGCTAGTAGGCGCTATACACAACGATTCCCCCAGCCGTGCTTGGAACATTATAGCAGTGTCATATTCATAATTCATCATAATTCATTTCATCATATCTTTTTTTTCCCCCTGAAGATACTGATATCCTGCATGCAAAAGCTGGATCACTATCTGAACCGCTGAAAATCAGACGGCACTTCTAGAGCTCCATGTAGGCCTAGTTCTTTTGGATGAACTCTCTGTTTCTGATAAGTGCACAGCAAACTTCAACTTAAATATCGGTATATCGTACTTTTAGTTCATCATACAAGACTCCTCCGATAGGACAACTTATTTCCCATCCAATTAAGACTGAAGCTTAAAACTGAGTAATACTCACGCGAATTTGCATGCCTTAATCCTGACAGAAAGACGGCCACAGCATCTGATTGCTGTGGGTTCTATCCCACAAGTTGGCTTTAATCACTGGAGGCGATCAGTTCATCCAAAAGGGGGCAATCAAGGAATTAAGTGGATTGGTTCAAATATGATGTAAATTTCGTGGATATCATTATAAGTTGGATTAAATGACTTGGTCAAATTTGAAAGTTACGAAGAGCTCAAAATAATTCCAGTTGAGACCAGCAGTAGAAACAAATCAACACATGAATAGGTTAAACAGGAAGCAGAGTGATTTTAACAAATTCTGTGTTGTATTTTATATGCATAACTGTTTACATTTCTGGATCATTCTATACACAATTCTACGTTCAGCACAAACTGCAGCAGGACCATCAACCAATCACAGTCTACTATTACAATGTCGGTGACTTCTTGGTATCGGTATACTACATGAAGTCTGTTAACGCTTTCTAAACGGTTACAGCCAATCGGGGCCTTTTTATTTTGATGTGATTTGCCAATGATTACAATTATGTAAAAAACCTCAACTTCCTGCCCGTTGCCATGCCTCCACCAGAGTTGACCTACTCGATTGCACTGACCTGATATTTCATGTGCTATATTTCAGAACCTGGCTTGCTCTTATTCAACAGGAGATACAGGTGTGTACACCAATCCAGCCAAATCCAAGGTGGGTAATGTCACGAGCCCTCTCTCTTTTAACTTGTACTGTACAGAAAGTTTTTAAGAGTAAATTCTACCAAATTCCGACAAGAGATTTCAGCAATTACTTCAAAGGAAAACATGACCTCAAGCATAGTATAAATACAGATTTTACGAAGTAGAGGTAATTTATGCTGCAACATGATAATTCATGAGGGCGGATATAGGCCTACTTGCTACACCTGAATCTAAGCTTTGTTTGTTGCTGAACAGCCTGGGACTATTGAAATGAGCGTGTGGTTCGGAAAGAACCAGGGGTTTCAAAGCCGTCAATTGGGACATTTTGTTGTTGTTCGTCATTAGGAAAAAGGCTGTTGATAAGTTCCGCCTATCAACAGCCTGGCGAAGTATCTGGCTAGCGAAGTATCTCTTCGTTGCCTTCATAACAGATCCTATGTATGCTAAGACCTACTTAAAGTGGTCTTTCCCCTTCGGTTTAGAATTGCTTGCATTAGCAAATAGATCTGATGGCTTTCCTTTAACAAATGTTGCCTTCTAACTGCATTCAGGGTTATATGAGTCACCCTCGTGAGGCTGCGTCGTTGATGTTCATACTCTTAAAGGAGTACATGAGACAAAGACATTCAAATTTGATCTAAAATCTGCTGACGTTTTACACTGAAGAGTTACTTGAAGTCTCTCTCCACGATCCACCGACAATAGCGATACAGAGACTACTGTCTCTAAATTCCAGCAAGCAAGAGTGTTACCAGTGGCAACACAATCTACTGCTTCCTTAACCTTGAGTATTAGTCGCTTCCTGACCAGGCAGAGCATTCACGTGTGAAACATTTGATGTTTGCAATTTGGTTACTTCCTCTTTCCTGTCATTTAACTGCCGCTGTTGCTCTTCCGTCGTAATTGTCAAGAGATGGCGTGAATCTACTGAAAGCACTCATCCAGTCACCTGCCCCAAGGAGTTATTACTGTCCGTCTCGAGTACTTTTAAATACCCGGCTATTTTGAGGAACAACTTCACGAAACCCGGATGGAGTGCTTCTGTGGTAGTCCGATTTCTACTGTGGCTTGATCGTGACTCGTCAAGATCATTCCCTGCAAAGGATCCCCAAGTTTTGGAAGAGCTTTAAATGCAAACAAAAAAGGGGGCTGTCCTTCCACACGCAAATCATCGTGACTTACGGGTTCAGTGAAGTGACACTTTGTTGACATCTTTATGCATTTGCAGCTCTCCAAGATTTATATCTCCCATAGAAGATCGGAATGTCATCACTTCCTCTTGTCTCCGCTGCATTTCATCCCATCTGCCTCACAGATTCCAATTTAACCTGAAATCATGTCGGTTGCAACGATTCAAGTAGATGTATACTTTCCCGCGGAATTGGATCGTAATAATAGGTGCACAAATTCGCCATAAGACACACCTGTTCTCTTTTTTATATAACGGGTTTTGCCCTTACCCAACGTATATATTAATAAACACTGTATGCTCAGTGCTTGTCCGAGAGCTTGCGAAAAAAAGTCATAAGCTTATTTGGGTGGGACTGGAACCCACGACCTCCTGCTTACTAGTGCAGACGTCTTAACCACTTCACCACCGAGCTTGCCGGGGTCGACTGGCCGGTCCGGTTTCGCAAGCTCTCGGACAAGCACTGAGCATACAGTTTTTATTAATATATACGTTGGGTAACGTCAAAAACCCGTTATATAAATTAACATCTCCCCGACGCAAAAAAAAAAAAATACATCTTGAAAACACCTGTTCTCGTTCTCCAATCAGAAGTTACCCCGGCTTGTAGGTGACTCTGTTTTGAACCACCCCCTTAACGCTGCTTGCCAATCGATTCTGTGGAGTCATATATCAGCGCCACGTTACCATCGAGTTACATTACCTCTAAACATGTCAGTTGTAATAAACTCCAGTGTAATCGACACAAATGTTTCTCGAGTGTATTGAAGGGCTGATGATTTTCAAAAACATAGGCGCGGGGCAGTGACATGGAGGGGGAACAGAAAGTTAAGCTGTGTGCAAAACGATACATGAAAACATCCAAAGAAGCAATACCCCTATGAATACATATTGTGCGACAGGCTTTATTTTATTGATACCTTTTTAAGCCAGTATATAGCACGTCCTAAAAGACTCACCAGAACATTGACTTCATTTGCCCATGCTGTGGCAAAACAATTGAAAATGCTTCGACCCGCGCGATAGAGCTGGTTATTACATGTCAACCTCAAAATTACCTTAACAGGTCAGCCATTTTGTAGGAATGCTGTGTATGAACAATGTTACTGATGGCCAAATGTGCAGCTACTAGTGGGTCAAAATGATTAAGTCTCGGTATACCCTTCATTTGAATAATTCTAACTCATGCTATCGTCCGATGTGATGCAATGACAATATTTCAGTATTTTTAAGTACTTCGATGTTTTGTATTTAAATTTCAGACTGAACATCAGGCCAAGACATGTAAAACCGCTTACAAATGACCAAAACGTTTAATTACCCTAAAAAAATTCTAAACATAATAGTAAAACTAATT